GGTACCTATGCATACACGGAGTCACAGGAGGAGGAGACAAAGGGCAAAACAGAAACAAGTTTAAAGAAGCAATGGCTGAAATTTTTCCAAATGTGATGAAAACTATAAACCTACATACAGAAAAATCTTGAAGAGCTCTAAGCAGGAAATACAAAGCCACACTAAGACCCATCATGACCTCTTTAAAAATCTAAAAGAAGTAAAGACCCAGCAAAAAGTTGCTCGAACTCTATACACTAGACTTGCCAAATTGACAATATCAAGTGTTGACAAAGGTGTGGGGTAACTTCAACTCTTGTAACACTGCTGGGGGGAATTCTCTGTGGGACGGTTCATAAAGCAGTTGGCAATTTCTTATAAAGTCTGACACACAATTACCAAATGAGCAATTCTACTCATAGGTATTCATCCAAGAAAACCAAAACTATATGTTCACACAAAGACTTGTATGTGAATGTCCACTGCAGCTGTATACATAATAGGCAAAAACTAGAAGTAACCCAAATGTCCTCCACTAGTGAATGGAATGTGGTACACCCAGAGGATAGAATACTATTTATCAGTAAAAAGGAATAGCTTACTGAAACATCAACTTGGATGAATCTCAGCAGTGTTCTGCTGAATGCAAGAGGCCAGGCACAAAGGTTACTGGCCACAAAAGTACATGTCTCCATGTATGTGACATTCTGGAGCAGGGGAAACCACAGAGGCAGAAATTAGACCAGCAGGCGGCCAGGCAGGGGAGTTTCCTACAAAGGAGAACAAGGGGACCCCTGGGATGACGGTCTGTCATCACTGTGGTAGGCTGCATGAGTATGCACATTTGTCAAAATTCCCTGAATTGCACAGTTAAAACTGGTGAATTTTATTTTACATTAAGTTATACCTCAATAAAGCTCATCAAAAAAGAGAGAATGGTGCTATCTAATGAGTGTGAGATCTTGAGGGCTGGTTTCTGAATTAAAGAGGCAATCAGAAGTCTGTGGGAATGAATGACACCCTCTCCCCAGTTATCAGTGGAAACCCTGGAACAGGACAGGCACAAGCCCTGAGAAAGCTGGGCCCAAGCACCCAAAGACTGTCTCTGACATCAGCTGAGACTTCTTTCTCGGCCGTTCCCTCAGGCTACAGGAAAGCACGGGTGACTTGGACTGCTGGTGACAGCAAACCAGCTTAAATGTTGAGCTGGTAAGTGAGCAACATGGGAACCACACTCCTGAGACAAATGGGGGATGTTTAAACCTGGACAACGGAAAAATAATAACATGCCTAACTTCCCACCCAGAAATAGTAGAAAGTGTTAATATTCTCATCTTTCATAGCAGAAGGTCAACCAACAAACCTTATAATTGAAATGTGTAGATTTCAAAAAACCCAATTAATCCAAATAAGGAAAAGGCTACCCACTCCAGTATTCTGGCCTGGAGAATTCCATGGACTGTATGGTCCATGGGGTTGCAAAGAGTCAGACATGACTGAGCAACTTTCACAAGGAAGAAAATCACTCCAATTTAACTAGGCTACAATGCAAAGATGCCATGAATTATATGATATACAAAAATATCAAAGATGTGAAAAACATGGAAAAAAGTATGACTCAGAATCAATAAAATATATCTCTATTCACCCAGCCGTATGCATATAAAACAGTTCCTGGAATAAGGTCACATTTAAAAACAATTATTTCTCAGATGGAAGATCTGAGGTCATTTTAAAACTTATCTTTTATACATTAAAAAAGTTCTTTATAATGAAGACATGTTAACAAAAACAAATGATTTTTATTCAAAAGAAAGAAAAATGAAGTAAATATGACAAGATGTTGGGCTTCCCTGTGGGCCGATGGTTAAGAATCCACCTGCCAATGCCAGGGCCACAGGTCCGATCCCTGGTCCGGGAAGACCCGACCTGCCGTGGGGCAGTGAAGCCCGTGGGCCACCACTGCTGAGCCCGTGCTCGGCGGCAACAGAGACCGCTGGGGCGAGGAGCCCGCACGCCAGATCTGGAGAGCAGCCCTCCCTGGCTGTGCCCAGAGAAGGTTCAGCGCACCCAAAATAAACACATATGTCAATCTTAAAAGCAACAGGCCAAGATGTTAATAGTGGGTCCTTCTGGGTGTGGGATCACAGGTGACATTTCTCCTTCATCCATGTCTGCATTTTCAAGGAACCCTTAAAACTGAAAAACTGAACGAAGCCAGCAGAGACTCATCAAACCTGGGCTGGACACCCTTGGATGAAAGCTGTTTCTGGCCAGAGGTCACATCCGCGATCCCCACCCTGCAAGTCCTTCATCGTGTGACCGCCGGCCGCCCTTCCTGCCACGTTGTCCAGATGAGTGCGGGGACTCGGAAGGTAGCTGGTGCCTCTGCTCTGGCACCCAGCTTCTCAGGGAGCTTCCTAATCCCCTGAGGGCCCTGTCAGGCAGGCAGTCCTAAGGTCACCCCTGAGATGCTGACCCAGGAGGTCTGCGACGGGGCGTGGGAAACTGCGCGTTAGGCGCCCAGGTAACTCATAACTGGTCACACAGCTCCGGGGCTCCTTGGCACGTCTGGAGGGAAGGTCTGGAGGCGTCCCCAAGCCTCTGTGCCCCCACGAGGGCACCCGCTGCCCACCACACACAGCCCAGGAGGACCAGCTCAGTGCAAAGAACAGCTGAGGAGAGGAATCCAGGAGACCCACACCCTCCTGCCAGGAGAAGGCTGGGGGCTCAACCCAGACCCACGCCCAAAACTCTGCGAGCACTGGACTGTCCAAAGAGAGCTTACCCCCAGGAAATACGCGGCCATGAACAAGGCCCTCCACCGTACAGAAAAGACACACAGATCCCTGCAGCCATTCCGCACTCCACGCCTGGTTCTGCCAGAGGCAAACACCACCTAGAGCCAATACTACCCTGGAGACTTCCAAAAATCTATTACCCTGTCCTGTGCATTTGTTTCCATATGAAGAGAAGTCTGAGGTTTTAATTCCCTCTCCTGGACATAATTCATAAGAAAATGGTTTCCTCAGTGCAGCCATTTGGTTCAATGTCACGTTTCCAGAATCTGATCCATTACTTTGTGCTAGCTGTCTTTCACGACTGTGTGCACCAGGCTTCCATCTCCAGGGGTCCTTAGCCCAGTGCTTCCCAAACTAATGTGCGTAAGAATCCCCTGGGATCTTGTTTAAAAAATAAAAAGCCAAATGAGCCTTTGCTCCTGTCATAAGGCTACACACCATGGCGCTATTTTCCCCTGAGGTTTGCAGGAAGTTTATCGCGTACCAGCAGGTTGTAAAGCCAAATGCCTCTCCATGGTACATTTTTCTGTCTGCTGTTTACTGAACTACAAGTGATCAGAGTTAAATACTAAGCAGAAGATCTAGATTTTTTAAAAAGTACATGTGTAGGAAAGGGAGCATTTGAAGAAGTTCAGAAAATGACTTTAATTATACAAATGAGTAGCAGCGTAAGATGAGAAAGTGCAAGTTGGCTATCTTGGGAAGGGTGACTTCTCATTAAATCAGAAAACTGTTGTCTGCTGCAGGATGGATCCTTTAACTTGAAGGGGAACAGGAAAATTAAAAGAGGCAGCTGTGATAATGTCTGACAGCTCTGAATTCAACTGAGAAGAAAGCTGGGAGGAACCAGAGGGTAACTTTACGCTGAGCTGTCCAAGGTCCAGACAAGTGATATTTCTGTGCTATTATTATTCAAGGTCCCAAACACTGAGATGAAGAAAAGATCATCAAGACAAAACGCTAAAAGTTCCAAGGCACCTGCTGCTGCCGCTGAGTCTCGGTCCTGCCCCGCTCCGTGAGACCCCGTGGGCTGCAGCCTGCCAGGCTCCTCTGTCCATGGGGGTCTCCAGGCAAGGATACTGGAGTGGGTATCCATGCCCCCCGCCAGGGGACCTTCCCAGACAAGGGATCGAAAGCCGACCTCCTGCACGGCAGGTAGATTCTGTCCCATCTGAGCCACCAGAGAAGGCCCAAGGCGCACACATAGCAGGATTTTTAAAATCGTGTCATATGACATGCACGGTTTCCCAGGTGACTCAGCGGTAAAGAGTCTGCTTGCCAATGCAGGAAGTGCAGGTTCGACCCCTGGGTTGGGAAGACCCCCTGGAGGAGGACATGGCAACCCGCTCCAGTGTTCTTGCCGGGAGAATCCCAGGGACGGAGGAGCCTGGCAGGCTACAGTCTGTGGGGTTGCAAAAGTCGGACACGACTGACCAACTAAACCACAACATGTTATGTATGCCACAGAGAAAGAGGCTGGGGGAATGCAGAGCAAAAGACCCTGGATGGTGAGACTATTTTACCTCTGGTTATGCTAGTTTGATATTTTCTATAATGAAAATACATTACTTTCATCATAAAAATAATAACAGTTAATTTGTAAGTGATCATGCTGAAACAGAGAGAAGGGAAGGAGGGAAGGAGGAAGGGAGGGAGAGATGAGCAGAAAAGAAAGAAGGGAGCAGATAAACAGTTATGGGTGTTTTTTCCCTTGAAGGGAGATGTCTTTCAAACGGCAATTCCCTTCACATTCTTCTTTCAAGTACGCCCCCCACAATTCTTTCCTGTTTTTTTTTCTGGGATCATATTAAGGCTGTGATTATACTTTCAAGTGTTGAATGAAATGTGAGGAACTAGAATCTTCCAATTCCAGTCATTTCTCTGTAATCGGTGCTGTTTCCCATGCAGCAACTGGCAGCTGTGAAGTCTGCAGCACTTCAACGGTGAAACACAAGGTGAAACGCGTTTCAAGGGTGAAACGCAAGGCCCTTTCCCGTCCTGGCAGGGCCCACAACGTGCCAGCCACTCACGTGGCTGCCTGCCCAGCGACCGTGCCACAGGCTGTCCCGAACGCAGAGTCCTCACTGGACTTCTGTGAAAGCGCTGTGGCCTTGATGGGCTGGTGATGCAGAGCGCAGGGAAGTGGGCACTAACCAGTGGGAAGAAGCATGCAGAAAAGGGCTGCAAAGTCAGGAGCATCAGAAACGGCGCAGAAGGTACCTTTAGGATGGTGATGTTCCAGGTAAAGCTCTCCACCGCCTTTTGCAGTTTGCGTTCCTTCAGGCCTTCCTTGGTGCCGATGCTGTGCAGGTGCTCGTGGAACTCCATAGCTGAAAGAAGCAGAAAGACAAAGGATGTTACTCCCCCACCCAATCTGCGGTAATGGGCCAGCAATATTTATTTTTCTAGGTATAGCTAGAAAGATTCCAGTCTCCACTGGGATTTCACAGAGGATAAAATAAGAAAGTTCCGGCAGGGGAAGCACTGCCAATTCACAGCCTCAGTGAGGCAGACAGCATCGCTGAGTGCGTGCCTGTGGACTGGGACGCTGCCCAGGGCACAGGTGACCATCCGCATTCTTCCTCTAGAGGTGGGGGCGCTGAAGAGACTCAGTGGCCCGACCCGAGGTCCCAGGCCAAGCCTGCAGCAGAGGAGAGAGGACGAGCGACAGCCAGGGCGCCCCGCCGCTGCGGCCGAGTCGCTCAGTCGCGTCCAGTCTGTGCGACCGCACAGACGGCAGCCCGCCAGGCTCCCCGTCCCTGGGCTTCTCCAGGCAAGCACACTGGAGTGGGCTGCCATTTCCTTCTCCAAGGGCACCCTGCCTCTGTATAATTGACGTGATCAGTGCATAGTCCTCACCGCCGTTTGAAACAGTATGAACACAGGAGTAGTGGGACGTCCTCTTCCTGATTTAATATCATTAAAACTCATGGAGTTTTTTTACATATTCACCTGCAGTCAGTTATCCCATCGCTGGCCAATGGGAACCCTGCAGGTGGGTTTCTAAGTCCTCCTGAGGTCACTGATTAGCCTCTGACACGCCCCTTGCTTCTGGCATAAGACGTTCTAGAGTTAGCAAGTACACTGCTCACCGGGGCCTGGAACCAGGCATTTCTCCAAGGACCTCTGGATTCTTACAAGTGGACAATGGTGCTCAAAGACCATAATCTTCGGGCCAGGAGTGCTCACCGTTACTGAGTTCCCACTGTTTTCCAGGCTCTTTAGTGAACAGATCTTTGGTACGTGGGCTTTTTTTTTTAAGGGAAGAATATTTTTTCTAAGGGAAGCAACAAGAATTGCTTGTACCTCTAATTCAAATTTACAGTTACAATGTTTTCACTGCTTTCTTAAATCTTAGACTTATCTCTTTGGCAGGCAATCTTAATTAACCACATCAACATAACTAATAGTAAGACTGCTAAATACAATTTAAACTCTACATTTTTTTTTTTGGTCAGAGTACATCTCATTGAGAATGTACAACAAAAGTACAGTGTTCCAAGGTCAGTCAAGGTAATTATTTTCTTTACATGTTATGTCTGTAAAAAGTGCAATTACGTACATTTGTTTCCTTTTTATCCCATTGTGTATGTGGGGGTGGGACATGTTTTTGCTTTTTTGGATAAATTTTTTTTATGATTCCTAAGCCAAACTGTGTATCAAGCTGCATTCAGGTCAATCTTACTTTCTTCCTGGATTTCTCTACCCTAATTCCTCCCTTTCCCCGTACATTTTTTATGAATTTTTAGTTTGTCTTTTATTGTCTTCTTTCTCCTTGAAGATCTAAGCAGAGGTGTCCATGTATCCAGAAACCTCTATTTTTTGCACAAAAGCAGCATAGTATGCACACTGCTCTGTGGCCTTCCTCCGAGCAGCCACAGTGGAGATCGCTCACTGCCCACCTATCAGGCCCTTCTCACCCTTCTCTGACACCTACAGAGCCCCCACACTGGGGAGATGAGCCGCCTTTGGTTTAACCAGCCCTCACTGATGGACGTGGCCTCCCAATCTTTCTCTGTTACAACTAATGTTGGAGCAGCCGTCATTTTTACAAGACATTTCCCCTGTTCTTTTGTACATTTCTCCTGTTCAGGTGGGCACCCCAATTTCTAACTGCCGTTCTATGCAACATCGTTTCAAAGCAGTTCTTTACACAGTGATTGACAGGAACTTCATTCCTTAGTGCCTTTAAACAGTGAACAAGAGCTGACATACAGGATAAATATAGTAACCTGCCAATCTAGTCTTGCTTCTTCTCCATTTTCTCCCTCCTAATAGGAACCAGGGCCCTAATTCCTGTCATGCTAATAAAGCTTAAGAAACTCATTGGTTTAAAAAAGGAACAGTAATTAGTGAAGTCATTACACTGTCTAGGGAACTCCCACGCTGACCCTTCTCCTTTAATTCGGCCTCTCTCTGGACAACGGCCCGGCTTGGTCACTAACCGGCCCCCGCCCAGCCCACTGCCAGCAGCCTGGCGCAGAGGGCCGCATCCCCCATATCTGCTTCCAGCCTTCCCTGGGTGTGCTTGGTTTAACACAGTGCAAAAAGACAAGCAATAACCATGACGAGGTGGCAATTACGTTCTAACGTCCAGGGTTTCTGCTAAAGCAACACAAACACACACACGTTCTCCCTGGCAGGTTTGAGAGACCCCCCGGCACACCCCTGACGACTCAGATCCACCTCCTAGAATGCGGCCCGATGAGGCCCGGCACACCCCTGACGACTCAGGTCCACCTCCTAGAACGTGGCCCGATGAGGCCCGGCACACGCTTGACGACTCAGGTCCACCTCCTAGAACGTGGCCCGATGAGGCCCGGCACACCCCTGACGACTCAGATCCACCTCCTAGAACATGGCCCGATGAGGCCCCGACAGTAAGACCCTGATGGTTCTCTAGTTTTAATGCTTCAGCATCATCTGGATTTCAGGATATTAATCTTTAATATCCATCTTTCGGGTAGTAAGCCAGGAACCATTTTGGTCTTAGCAGCACCACTGGGGCTCGGAAGGTGGGTGTCCAGACGGAACACGGAAAAGAGATGAGACGGGAGAGCAGGCAGAGCAGTAACGCTCTGTCACCAAGGCTGAGCTCAGACAAGCGTCCACCCGTGCTGAGCGGAGGCAGCCTGCAGGAGGGCCAGCAGAACAGAGAGCCAGAGGCTGCCTTGGAAGCACTGAGGACTCACGGGAGAAACACAGGCCAGACGATTTAAAAAGTGATGCTGATAAAATGGGGAAACATTTAAGGAAACAAGTAAAGCTGCCTAAAAATGTGTATTCCCCTCATCTGTTGAAGTACAGCCACTATGGAGAAGAGTGTGGAGAGTCCTTAAAAACACTGAGAATAAAACCACCACACGACCCAGCAATCCTACTACTTGGCATCTTCCCTGAAAAAACCGTAACTGAAAAATACACACGTACCCCGGTATTCACTGCAGCACTGTTTACAATAGCTAGGACATGGAAGCAACCTAGATGTCCATCGACAGATGAGTGGATAAAGAAGTGTGGTACATGTACACAGTGGAATATTACTCAGCCATAAAAAGGAAGGTATTTGAGTCAGTTCTAATGAGATGAACGAACCTAGAGCCTATTATACGAGTGAAGTAAGTCAGAAAGAGAAAAGCAAGTATCATATATTAACACGTACATATGCAATTTAGACAAACGGCACTGATGGCCCTATTTGCAGGGCAGCAGCAGAAACACGGATATACAGACAGACCTGCAGGCAGCGGGGAGGAGATGAGAGCAGCATGAAGCGTACCCGTTATCACACGGAAAGCAGACAGCCCGCGGGAATCTGCTGTGAACACTGGGCGCTCAGACCTGCTGCTCCAGGAAAACCTGGGGGGATGGGAGGGAGGTGGGTGGGAGGTTCAAGAGAGAGGGGACCTGTGTACACCTAGGGCTGATCCATGCCGGTGTGCGGCAGAAACCAGAACACTACTGTAAGGCATTTATCCTCCGATTAAAGGTAAAAAATTTTAAAAGTGAGATAAGACATTTCACCCTTATCTTCCCCTTCTTAAAATATCTATATAGTCAAATAAAAGTCCAAAAGGAGGCAGAAAGTTAGGGTTAGGTTGTGTGTGAGTGTGTGTGTGCACGTGTATGAGTGTACGTGTGACTGAGCATGTGTGTGCGTGACGACATGTAAGTGTATTTGTGTGTCAGTGTGTGTACATGTGTGTGTATTTAATAATGAAGTTCTTTAAAAGTGGGCACAAAAAGTGATGAGTTGACAAATGGAAAATTACGTTAAAAATCGGAAAGCCTGTATTTTAGAAAGTAGCTAAGACTATCCATTCCACTGGTACGTATTTCATTCCTTGGTTTGCTACATAATATATCTGTTTCTTAAAAGAATTTTCACATTATTAACTTATAGACTAATTTTTGTAAACATGCTGCCAATTTGCTAACATGCAGCACTTGTTGACTTCGTATTTTAAGGATCTCACTTTGACTTACACAGCATGACTGTACCGTTCACTGCGCTCCTGTGACACACAAAGTCCAGGCCAAAGACACAATCAAGGGAAACAAAAGACCACTCACCAAGCACTTTACACACCCTGTAAGGGAAACGGAGAGAGGCTCTGGAACTTTCCTGAGTAAACAGTAAAGAAGAATTCAGAGGAGACTTTCAAGACGGGCAGATCACATCAGAAGCGCATCCTCTGCATGTGGGGCAGCTCCTACAGGACAGCTCGGGGACGCCGGCAGGAAGACTCCGGACTTTCAGAAAGGCCAGTTGGCGCCCTCGGAATGGGCGAGGGCCAGAGGCAGAATGGGAGACAGAGATTTCAGGACAGGGACCTGCGCCCGGGCAGGGAGCCGTGAAGGAGGACACGTTTCCACACTGGGAAACCCCACAGGTGGCATCATGGGGGCGCTTGGGAACCCCAAGGGCAGTGAAATGGCGGGTGCTCGAAGGCAAAAGGCACATCTACCTGGGAGACCAAGCAGCTTGGCCCTGCCAAGGGTCCCCCAACACAGGGCCAGCTCCTCTGCGAAAGCGCGTGGCCGCCTGGTGACTGCCCGCAAGTTCCAGGCACTCCCCATGCCCCAGGGCAACTGAGCCCCCCGGGTCTCGGCCGAGAACAGAGGCCTGTGAGCAGACGCAGGCCCGGGGCCAGAGCAAAGCAGCAGGAGGCCGCGTGAGCACAGGGAAGACGGGGAGGCGCCCATGCAGTCACGGGGCAGCAGGCTAATTCCGCAGAACTGGTGTCAGGCTGCGGGCTTTAGGGGCAACTGGACTTTGGGAGGAGGTACAAGCTGGAGCGAGGCAGGATCTGAGTTTTACACTGACCCC